GGGAGAGAAGGGAAGGGCGGATGGGATGAGGCACTCTTCCCACAGGGTGATCCTTGAGAGTGGGAACTTCTCCGGTCTTTCCTCTCTGGTGAAATCAGCGCTCACTGAAAATGCTTTTAGGGGAACTTTCTGAGCATCAAGGATTCCTTCCCAGTCAAGACCCTGGGAGATGCAGTCAACTGGGTGGGCTACCTTGGTGCAGAGGCTATGCCTTCGCTCTGCGCAGGACTGGAGGTCAAGGGAATGAATGCCCAGAGGACTTTAAGACCCGTCCCCCTGGTGCCGCACCAAGTACCCCCATGCCCTGGCACTCCAAGAGGAATTCCAGCCCTGGCAGCTCCCTCGGCCTCTCCTGGAGGCTCTGCTTGCAGGGGACACTCAGGACCTCAGGGGACCTGGTCTGTATTTGCAGGGCCTGGTGACCTGACTTCCGCTGCAGTTGGCATGAAGAGCCAGCTACTGCCTGAGGGCAGAGTGAGGCTCCCAGGATGCGGGGAGGTGGCTGACAGACCTGGCTTACTGCTGGCAAGGGAAGCACTGTAGCCCCTGGAGCCTGCTTCAGCCCTACCTGCCCCCTGTGTTCCAGATACACAGGCCAACAGGCTGTGTGCTACTTTCACAAGGGCACAAGCATACACATGTATCATTTGATTCACTAGTATTGAAAGCTTGTTATCTGCCAGGCACTGTGGATGGCACCAAAAACACTCACCCCCTCACACGTAGTGGCCACACAGGGACTGTCCCACGGATATGTTCACATTCGCACATATACTGAGCAACACACACACAGACCCATGACCCATCTTCACAAACACACTAACATGCCATCAGGCAAAACAAACATTCACAAATGAGCCCCTCCCAAATACATATGCTCACACACACAAACACCAAGATGCATCATGCTTCTCCCCAGAAGCACACAAATCCACACTCACACCGGTGCCCCTGCGAGCAGCCAGGCCCAGCCCAGCCACCTGCCGGACCAGGGCCCGGCCTCACAGGGGAGCTTGTGGGCAGGGCTCAGCATCAAGTCTCAGAGTCCCAGGGAGAAAGACAGCTCAATCCCGAGGGACCCTACCTCGGCCGGCCCCCTCTCTCACGGCCTAAGTGGGATCTCGGGAGTTTGCGCGAAGCGCTCACTGGCCAGCCAGTAGGAGGCGAGGTGCCTGTGGTCCCGCTTTATTCGGTAAAGCGAACTCAGGCACAGACCCCGCACCGCTTGTGGCCACGTCCCTCTTGCCTTCCCCCTGGGAAAGCTAAGCCCGAAAACATGTATTTAAACGGGGAAACTAGACAGAAGTTCTGAAGATAAACCCAAGTAGCTACTCGCCCACGGCATGGATCTCTACAAGCCAGTCCTCCAGCAGGTAACTGGTGCACAGCCGCTCCCCGTGAGAGGCCACCAAACAGGGTTCCCAGAGGCTTGTCACCCCTCTCTTTTGCCTCCCTCTCCTCGTGGCAGCACAGAAACCAGGCGTTTTTCTCCAGCAGCAGCGACGACCCCGAAGGGACACAGTGGCCAGAAGCCGGGTTTCCTTCTTCTGCTCCTGTGACCGCATCTGCCTTTCATTTGTTCCCGGGTCCCATACCCACACAACCCTCGAAGGTGAACCCGAACGGAGAAGGTAGAACCCAGCCCTCCAGGGCAGCTGGCCACCTCACCTGCTTGGGGGCTGGAAGCCAAGGGCTACTGAGAGCGCAGAGGAAAGCTCAGGGCTGGCTATGCTTCCTCTTAATTACCCAACCCCCCACGACCCTCCGCGCTAGGCA